ATGCTCCACCTTGTGCTCTTTCTCTCTCTGCTCTGCCTCCACTCGCCGATGTGCTTTCTCTGCATTCTTCTCGCGCTCGGTGTTGGTCGAGTCATCAGTAAGGACGACCAATGTGTTGTCTGCGACTGGGGAGTAGTCATGGGAGTGGCCTGGGGTTGGCTGGGGGGTTGTGTTCTTGCACTGGAAGGACATGGTGATGAGGGAAGAAGGTACAAAGGTTTGGTACCCTAACACATGTTTTTAAGCAGTACTTCGAACTCCAATGGAGCTCCACTGCAGCTGAAGCCATCATCCTCAAGGCATCAAAATAATTTCAAATGATCAACTCATGTTGATCTCGTCCTGTACATGCAGCCTTCAGGGGTTCAGGCCCTAAGGGGGGGGCACTGTCATAACCATGCATTCATTATAGGTCTTTGCTCACTCCACAACCTTTTCCACCAGTCATCTGCTCGCTCCACACCAACTCCGCCCAACTTCTGTTGGTTGCGAACCATCTCCACTCTGACTGTTGTTGGACTTGTGTTGCTCTCCTACTGGACCGAGTGGTCCATTCTCTGAGGGGTCATGTGACTACCTTTGCAGTCAGGTACTCCACAGCATGCTCACTGCATGGTCCAGTGCCTGGACTATTTCCTTTTCTGGATGTTCTGTGTTACCTGTTCGTATGTCCTCTGTCTACCCTTCATTTGTCATCCAGGAAATTTTACTTGAAAATTTATGAGTCTCCATATGTCAGTTCCGATTCCAGTTACTGTACCTCCATAGCAGTATAAAAGCATGTACTGTACTCCACTGTTCTTCAGTATGAATATCAACTTAGTTCCTACTCCCTCTGATTCCATCTTCTGCCTGTTGGAGTTATCTCTGACTCTCTGTCTGTACTCTCCCTCTGAAATACGAGGGCTGAGATTATGCAAGGGGGTAGCACACGAGCTAAACCCGACGCCCTCACTCCACTCCACCTTTGTCTCAACGGTCTTCATTCCTGCCGACACTCCACTAGTCGGAGTTCTGTTCTTCTGTGTCGGACTTGCTTCCGGACCCTCCTCTAGACCTTGTTTAGCATCGGAGTTGGTCAGAGTAGGCCTGGACTTGACAACATCTTTCTTGGTCAGCTTGATGAGGGGACATGCATGTTTAGCAAAATCCTTGATAAAGATCCTGCAGTACAAGCAAAGACCTAAAAATCCACACACTTCAGTAACATTAGTGCAGTAGAGCCAATCTTTAATTTTCTGGACTTTAGCTTCATCTGGAATTCTCCCCTCAAACAACACCTTATGCCCAACCACTATGATAGATGGTGCAGTGATGATGCATTTCTTTGCTGAGACAGTAGCTCCTGTGTGATGCAGACAATGTAAGATGTGGTTGATGTTCTGCAGATGTTCCCAGATGAAGTGTCTGATCCTGGAGTTTTGTGGGATCATCTGGTAGGTACTGTCAGAATTTTGGTAATGGGATTTGGGGCCTTTGATCAGGCAGTCATTGATGAATGGGATGGTAACTTCCAGAATTTCATCCTTCAATATCCAACAGATGTCTCTATGGAAAATCTGGACAGCATTCATGTAGCCCATAGGTAGTTTGGTGAGTTGAAGGGTACCAATAGGGGTTTGGAAAGTAGTGAGATCATGGTATTCATCATGGATGGTGCGATGATTGTATCTGACCATAAGATCTAAAATTCCATAGACAGAGTGGCAGGCAAAAGCTTCTGCAATCGAGTCAAAAAAGGGGGGAATGGCTGAATCCTGTATAGATACAGCATTCAGAGGTTGTAAGTCATGGACAAGGCACAGAGATTTTCCATCCTTCTTGACTATGCAGAACCATTTCAAGCAATAGGATGAAGTAGATGGTTTGTAGACACCTGCAGAAATCTTTTCTTTGATTATGCTGACAATGTCATGAAACATGGCTGGAGGTATGGGGATATTCTGCTCAACCCAGGGTTTGTGGGCTAGCATGGGTATCTTCAGTGGCAGAAACATAACTTCTCAGAAGGTTCCTCTTTCTGTGGCATCCCAAGCAAAGGCAGTCTCATGTGTCTTGACCAGCCATCATACCAGATTTAACTCCCTAGGCCAGAGGAACTTCGAAGGGTCCAGATCGAGCTTGTCAACCCTTTCCTGGGTGAACCTGGAGCCTGGCATGAATGGGGGAGGATGAGTAGGTAATACAGTTAAATCTGCGAGAGGATCTTCAGCTTCCCAATGCTCTGCCCAGAATTCCACAGGCATTGACATTGGTACAGGCCTGACCTTCTTTGCTACAAATTTGTACTTTAAAATATGAAGAATGGGATTGAACTGGTAAGTGGAATGTAAAGCTGAAATTGTCAGTGGTGAAACAGTGGTGCTAGTAGAAAATAAGAAGGGGTCATTCAAAGAAACAGAACTAGAATCAAACAGATCAATGGGGGGCATACTGTTGCTTTGTAAATCATAGAGCAATTCCACAGTGGAATTTTCAGTAGTGTCTGTAGAGAAAAGAGAAGCCAGCTTCAAAGGTAACAAAGGAGGATCAGAAACATAGAGAGAACACACAGAGAAAACATTATCATGGCCTCCTTGCAATCCAAACAAGTCATTGACCAACACTAAAAACCCTGCTCAGGTTGTTTCATGTGGCAACACATCTCCTTGCATGCAAAGTAGTCTTCTTTGTCTTTGGAATTTACAAACCATGGAAGAGGCTGTAATCTGTTTTGAGGGCATGTCAGAATTAACACCTGTCTACCCATGTTAGGGTCATGAATCTCCAGGGACTGTTCTCCATCAGGGAAATCTCATAGGATGCTGGAGAGCAGGCAGAAGAAGGGTTGCCCAAGAAGCAGATCAAATGGCACAACCTGAATTGGGAGGTGCACTTCAATATTTCCTATGCACAATGATGTGTTCTCTATGACCCCTAGAGTACTCTCTTTGGATTGGTTAGCAGCTTCAAGAGTCATGCTCATGTCAGAATGAAGAGGAGCCCCTAAGGCCTCCCATAGTTCACAATGCAAGGCTACCACCTGACAACCACTGTCCAGAATGCATTCAATGTGGAGTTTGTCCATTAGGATGCCATTGATGGCATGTAAGGGGGCAGTAGCAAGGCCTACACACTTCCCTTCGACATCTCTGACCCAGAACTGTTCATAGGATGCCCAGGTAGGTGATGCCACAACTCCATTTCCAAGCTCCCAATCATTATCATCATGGCCAGTTCTTGGACCTGCTTGCAAATCTCCAGGCTGACAGCAAAGAGGTCTTTGGTAGAAATTTCCATCTTCACCTCTAAGACTTGGTTTATGAGTTGTCTGGTAGCAACCACTTCATTGAAGCTGCTCTGGTATCAAAATTGGGGTGTTGGAATTGCTGTAGGCTTAGATTTCCTGGGATCTGTGGGATTAGAGACAACCAGAGTTTTACTAACAGCTGGGTTCTCTGTAACATGGATGGGATTGTTTGGAATGGAATTAATGACTGGCCTGGGGGCAGTTGACACTGTAGGGAATGCAATTTTCCTACCAGGGGAATTGCCTTATTTTGCTTGTTTTACTTCATTTTCATTCTAGATACTTTTTTCTATGAGTTGCACTTAGATTTTGTATTTTGGGTTGTTTAGTCAGCAGTAGTGTATGGTTTTTTCCTTTAGCAATAATAGACAAGTTACCACAGATGAGAGATGAGTTTGAGCAGGTCATTCCCTGCACCAAGACAGCCATAGAAACCTTCAGATGACTACCAGGATCCAGTCCCAGGTTATAGAAGCCCCTTTGGCTTACTCATCCCCTCAGATAATCCATCACCCAGTCTTCACACTCTTAAATCCCTTTTCCTACAACATTGTAGGAAAAATCAAAGTAGCTGTACGATATGAGCTAGATGGCTTAGATAACAACAATAAAAATGAAGGGAATGAATCACTCATCCCAAGGGATTCTCGACTGTCAAAACTAGAAGGTGGGACTCAGCACTTTGTAGCAGTAGCAATTTGTGATGTGTGTGGTGTGGCCCATGGAGTAGTACTGGCAATGCAAGTGGTATACATAGTTCATGCACAGTGGTTTGCAAGATGTGTGGTGTAGACAAAGTGAAAAAAGAAACTTGTAGTGACCTTCTGAGTGCCAAAAGGTATCATTCTGTACCTAAGTACAGGGCTTTATAGTCTGGGAAAACCCAGAACCTAAGCAAGACAAGGTACAAGTAAAGGAAAGCCACATGACAGCATGTACATACAAGACAGACCAGAACAGAGGCCAAAGGTATACTACAAGTGCTAAAGGAATATAGACTGTGGTAAAAGAAAGAGTCCAAAGGAAAGGAAGCAACCAGAGCACAGCAGTTGCAGGCATAGCATAGCACAACATCAGTAAACCACTTTGTGTGCTGGCAGTCCTAGGGAATCTGTCCAGTGCTGGACAGCTCTGGACAGCTCTGGCCAGCAAAAGTGATTTACTGATGAAGAGGGAGAAAGGGTGTGGGAAGGTAGCACATGAACAATGGCAGATGCAAGAGGTCTGAAAATGTAATGGTAGTCATGGAACAGTTGATGATAGGGGCTTACATGTCCAAGGAATGTGGATTCCTTACACCTGCAGGGGACTTAGATGCTGACTGTCCCTGGTCAGCCACATGGCACAGAGGATGTAAATATCCTTGCCACATGGTGATGGCAAAGGTGTGGTGCTGAGGATTTGAGAACACCAGTGAATTCCATGCAGAAGCGAAGGAAGCATGGTGCTGAGGAATGTGAGAAGACTGCTGAATGCCATGTATAGGTGTCCAGACCAATGACATAAGTGCTTCATGGCCACTAAGTATATAATTGTTAGTGCATGGCTCAAACCTTTGCATCAATTTGATTCTTTTCCCCCCCCATCAATCACCTCTAACACCTTCATCATGTCTGCTAACCATGCCCCCTGACTTTCACAATCCATTCATGCATCAACTCCAGACCCCACAGAAGTGGAGAAGGCTGCCCTGCAAGAGCAACTTGCAGCCATGTCAGCTGGCCTCATGGCTGAGGCAAGGTGTTTCCCTGAGGATTGCAAGGGAATGGAGGAGGAGAAGACAGTGAGGTGACAGTGCATCAGTAGTATGGTAGTGTGGGGGCTGATCCCTTTCTTTTGCAGGCAGGGCTTATGCCATTGGTCAAGCATGGGAAGGAGCTTGGTGTCATGGTAAGGGTGGATGCAGTGGATGTGCCTATACTGGCTAAAGCAGATGACATCTACAAGTGGTGGACTGCAGAGGAAGCCAATGCATGTGTGAGGGCTGAGCAGGATGTCCAGATGGGGGATGAGAACACACAGGAGACCAGAGGGCTGGGTGCAAGTATTGTAGTGCCTGTGGTGACAGAGAAGATGTTGCATGTTGAGATGGTGTCCTGTCTGGTTTGGAAGGTAAGTGTGCAGTCAGAATGGTGTGGTAGTGGCTGACACTGGAGTCCAAAGCAATTGTGGCAGACCATCACAGAGAGTGAAGATGAGGATGAGCCCAAGATTGTCATTCCTCCCAGCTCGATCCTCCACAAGGTCCCATGCATGTGGTGCATGGTGAAGAAGACAGCTTGCACTGGACCCATTGGGTGGATGTGTGACAGCTGCACACAAATGAAGCAGGGGTGCAAGAAGTCAACAAAGGCTGCAGGAAAGAAGGCACAGGCAGGCACATCAGTCAGTAAGTAGCAACCCCACCTCAGGAGGTGCAAAGTTAATGGTTCGCAGCATGGGCCTCAAAGACTGCAAAGGCAAGCTTGTCCAAGAGGGTCATAGATGGCAATGACAATGATGATGAAGTCAAGGTGGTCAAAAGTCACACCCATGCAAAGGGAAAGGCACTGGTATCAGCTGGCTTGACACCAAGGTTGTGGCTGACCTTTTGCAGTCCTTGAGGCTGTTGTGCACTTCAACTTCAGGTACACATGGATCAGCCCACCAAGGCACTGGAGAAGATTGGGGTGGAGTAGGAACATTTGCACTTAGTTTAGACTCATTACACTGTCCTGACTGCATATCAGCATGCATCATGCTAAATATACTGCTGTTTTCCCTTCAGTGTGAGATTGTGACACAAAACAACTTGAAGGGCTTGAACACTCTCTGTGGGACAGAGCAGCAATGGTGAGATACAGTGTGTGGGGTACTGCTGTTAAGTATGGGTTTACCCTCAGGTGACCAGGCTTCAAGACTGGGTGACAGGGGCTAAGTCCAGGTGGCCAAAGTCAAGGCCAGGAGACAGGGGCCAAGTCTGGTTGGACCAGAGTTAAGGCCAGAGGTTGGGGGTTAAGTCCAGTGGACTGGACTTAAGGCCAGGAGCATGGGAACAAGGCCAGTAGCATGGGAAACTGACTGGTCTTGGAGTGCACACAGGGGGAAGCCAGTCTGGGGTTGGATCTACCTCCCTTGGTCTCAGCTTATCTGCTGTACCCTTATGCAAGCTGGGGAGAGGTCTGGGACAGGGGCTGGGGATAGCTTAAGGCTCAGCCTTAGCTATAGAGTAGACTTGGGGTGTAGTATGGAGTTGAGGGTAATTCTAAATTGATATTCTGACTGAGGGTGCAATGAAGTATGTACAGGGGTTAAATACATGAGGCCAGTCCAGGGTAACAAGCATAGAGCTGGACTTGTTGATAAGCTATTAGAAAGATGATTAGCAAGAGGATAGCCACAGAGGCTGTGCTGAGACTAATAGTGAAAGTCCAGGTGACCAGCATAACCAGAGTCAGACAGAGGTTTGTACAGTAAGCAAGATCAGCAAAGGGGACTAGACTAAATATAGCACAAACAAAGGACAACAGACCAGAGTTATGTCCAGGTGACCTGGACATGGACCTGGGAGGACCAGGGTGGAGCAGCACAGGGCTGGGCGGCCAGAATGGACCAGAGATAGGGGTAAAAGACTGGACTTGAGTTATTCAGGCCAGAGTTGGGTTTTCTAGGACAGACTAGGACTGGACTTGACTGGAGTTAGGGGCTAGGGGTCTGGACTGGACCAGGATTGAGTCCAAGAGTCATGGATATGACCACCACCCAACTTGTCTTCTTCATGTGACTTTCAACTTCTCTCAGTGGTAAGTCCTCATGGTATGGTGTTGATGGTAGGTTTTGATGGTTTTTTGATGAGGGAGTGAAGGGACTGTTTACTGGGTAACTGGGATGGTCTTTGGGTATCAACTGCAAGGAGACAGAAGAAGAACTGAAAGGGAAACAGATCAAGGGGTGCACACTGACTGTGTGTTCAAAGGAGAAATGCACAGGGTAGTAGTGGGTATTCACAGTATATAGTGGCCAAGGATGGCATCAGTGAGACTAGTAAGAGAAGGCATAGGAGAGACATTATTCTAGTTATATACTTATTTGGTGTTTTGTTATCTTTCTGGATGGTTTTGGACTTTTTGTTAGCAGTTTTTATGTTTTGTGAGTGAGGACTAGCTGTCAGTAGAATCACCAAACAAAACCCAGGGTGGAACAGAGGTCTCCAGATGAAAGCCAGGGTAAGACAGATAAAAGGAAACAAACTATGTCTGGTATTGAGTGGTATGTAGGTCACCCCTGTGGGGGACTTTGAATGCTGACTGTCCCCAGTCAGCACAGGAGAGGGAATGAGGGCAGTGGAAGAAGCCATGGAGAAGAGGGTGAAGCCATGAAAGGAGGTAGGGGTATTGTGGGAGAGGGTACAGAGGCAAGTAGGAAGGAAAGAAGGGGAGGGTGTGATGGACAGGCTGTGGGTGCTGGAAAGGGCAGATAGTCAGCTGTCTGAGGCAAAAGCCTCTACCTTGTCATCAGTGGAGTCATCCTCAGCCTCCTCAAGAAGGCAGTCTAGTTCTTTGTCATCTAACCCAGTAATGTGAGTGACAGTTGCACAGGTTTGAGACTGCAGGTGATATGGAAGTAGGTGGAATGTGGTGAAGCAGAGTTTGGAGATGGAGCCATCCAACTCAGCCAGCAGGTATGAGCCCCCAGTGGTCTGATGAAGGATGACCATGGGACCAGTGTACTGTGGCTTCATCTTCTGGTTCAGCTCTTTCTCTATGCAGGAGTTGTGAATGAGCACAAGGGTACCAGGAGTGAAGTTATAGTCTTTTATGTGATGCTGAAAGGCAGCTTCAAACTGTTGGACAGACTGGAAATGTGCACAAAGGATGTTGTTGCAGACCTGATCTAGGTCATCCTGATGCTTCTGTAACTGGTGCATGCACCAAGCAATCAGTTCTGTGGTAGTCAGTGGAGTCACATCATTGCAGGATAGAGGTAAGAGGAAGGTAGCCTCAGCAAGGTCAAATGGAAACAGCAGCTCAACACTGTGCACCATGAAGTAAGGGGATAAACCTGTGGACTTCAGAATGGTGACTTGCTCAGCCCAGAACACAGAGTGCATGACAGTGTGCCAGCAGCAGTCATCATTCTTGCAGCTCTTCATGATAGCCTTGTGTACATCATAGTGGTGATGCTCTACAATGCTGTTAGCCTGAGAGTTGTAAGGAGAAATACAAATGTGACAGATATGATATTGTGTGGCTAGGGAATCCAAGGCTTGAATGAATGCCAGACCATTGTCAGTGATGATTTTGGCAAGCAGACCACAGCAGCATAGGATGTCCTCAAAGATGAAGGATGTGAGCACAGTACTATTTTCCATGTGCAACATGCACCACCCTGGATATGAGGTTAGCATGCATCAAGCCTGTACTATGTACCAGTAGCCATGAGCTTTGGACATTAGCACCATGTCAATGTGATCTTTATGAAACAGGCCCCCTATCATGGGCACAGTGGGAGGGATATGAAGCTTCTGTGTCTGGTGGATCTGGCATTCATGACAAGTATGAACATACCATTTCATGTCCTCAACAAGCAGAGGCCACCAAAAGTGGAGGAGAAGGCAGGTGTGGACTGTGAAGACACCTTTGTGTCTGAGGTCATCATGCACTTCTTTGATGAGGCAATACCACTTGGACTCATTGATGACTAGCTGGTGCCATCCATGTGGTTCCCTATGCCATAAGTTTCCATCTAGGAGGAAGAAGCAGCTGCCCAAATTAAAGAAAGATGAGTACTGCACATCAGTAAGGTCAGGAGGTCGCTTGCAGGTCACAAGGAATGCACAGATCATTTCCATCTTTGCCTCACATGCCCAAGCTTTTGTGGATGGCAGATGGTGGGGTTGTCAGGGGTATTGGAAGGGTTATCAGCATTGGCAGTCACAGAGAATGTGAGGTAGAAGGATGTAGGGGGCAGGAGGCTTGCCCAATGGTAAGCAGGTGGCAGTAAGGATGATTTTGGTTGGAAAGAGACATAGGAGGCAGGCAGTCATTGACAACCTTGTAGAGAAAGAGTAAAAATGGTCTAACCAATCCTTGTGGTCATCATCCTTGGGCAGGGCAAGTTCCACCCATGGATGGCAGGACAAGCCATCAGGGCTGGCATGCCTGTCTGCAGGAACATGCACAAGTTTGAATGAAAAGAGGAGGTCACCAGTGATCCAGTGATTGATTGTTGCATTAGGCTGCAGATCTGGGTTATTTATCATGCCCTTGATATACTTCACATCTACCTCCACAGTGAAGTTAGTGAGACCAAAGATGTATACATGTACTGTGTGCAATGTGCAGAAGAGGCCATACAACTCAAGCTTAGCCTGGGAGTAATGGCTTTCCACTTCATTGAGGGTAATGGATCTGAAGTGACTAGGGTATTGTGTTCCATCTTCACCAAGCTGATAAAGGATGTAGCCAGAACACTTCTTGACTCTGCTCCATGTGGCACCCCAACTAGGACCCCAAAAAATTCCTTGACCCTGTCATGCTAGCCACAGAAGCAGAGCCCATCACTGCCAACAGCAACGTACAGAAATGTCATTCTAGAATGCCAAAGCCCACCCCTGCACACACTCTCCCAGTCATGCAGGAGCCAGAAGACACTCTCACACCCACCACCCATGACCTCAACAGGGCGAACAACCCTGAGGTCTAACTCCCACACCATGCCAGGACCCCAGGCAGCACCTTGTGTGTCAGGATCCACTCTGCATGGCAAGACCACCAGAAGCAGTGGACTACCCATCGAAGACATCATCAACGACCCAGATGCAGAAATAAAAGACACAGACTCAGCAAGAAAATTCCTAGACCAGCTGTACACTGTACATGGAGACCCAATAACGCCAGAACACCTGTCCCAAGCCCTGTTCTACATTTCACAAAGCAAAATGGTGAACAGCACCACACAATCAGCCATTCGAGCTACAGCATATCTAGTCAGAGACCTAGCAGTGCTGGCAATAGCTGAATCTATAACCAAGGCAGTATCGAGCAAACTAGATGCCTCAATCCTAATTGCCATATCACTGCACATCAGCAAAATCATGTCAACCACAGAGAAACTCGAAACCGCCAATGAACAAATCACAATGCTAAGCACTGAGATTGCCAAGAATGCTGGAACCCATGATACCACTGCAGGTGACACAAGCCTTGAACTGCTCGAAGGTAAGGTACAAAAGCTCACTGATGACATAGGGTCAATCAAAACTGTGATAGAAGAAGTCAAAGACCACCTCAAAACCCAAACACCCCCAGCACCATTCCCAACACCATACAGAGATGCCCTAGCCACATACACCGCTAATCTGAACCAGATCCCACTGGGCAAATGCCCAACACAGGAACATGCTAAGGCCTATGCTGCTATCAGAGACAGACAGATACTGATTGACCCTGACAGAGATCACCCAATATTCAATGATTCCACCAAGAGAGAGACAGCCATCAACCTCATCAAGCAAGCAATAGAAGCAGTAGACAGGGTAGATGGCCCCGAAATCCAACTGAAATCAATCACCTGCCTACAAAACAATGGCATCCTCCTCAAACTCAACAGTCAAGAAGCCACAGCATGGATCAAAAAAGTCCCCAACAGAGCTACCTTCCTGGAGAAACTAGGAGGCACAACCATGATCAAAGACAGGATGTACAGCATCATGATTCCATTCCTCTCAACCACAACTGACCTAGATCGCCCTGACACACTATGTGAAATGGAAACCAAGAACAACATCCCAACGGGTTCCATAAGCCAGATCAAATGGATCAAAGACCCAACCAAATGATCCCCCAACCAATGTGTAACACATGCACTAGCAGCCTTTGCCTTGTTGGAGATATATTCTCCCCTGTGTTCTGCTCACTTTGGTGCGATGTTTGGGTGCTTACATAATCACCTTAGAGCGCACATTTTACAGTAGTTTATTCACTGTTCCCTCAGTAGCTTGTTGCACTACTGAGGGTAAGCTCACTTTCACTACCAGTGTTATACTTACTGATGTCCTGTAGATACCTACAGGTTGGTCTAATACATAAGTAGCTTGTTGCACTACCGAGGATACCTACAGCATCCTTCAAAATGCCTCTCCTGAGACAGCTAACCAGATCATCAGGGATGGACTCTACTGGGGCCTGGACAGGCTATGTCTGCATAAGGACAAAAAGGAACCAATCCATTGCCTCAAATGTCAGCAAATAGGTCATCTGGCAAAAGACTGCAAACAAGAAGCAGGACATCTGTGGCATATGCACTCAACTCTACCACACACAGACATGTAACTCACCCACTGTATACTGTGCAAACTGCCAGAGCAACACCCACCCCAGCTCAGACAAAACTGCCCCACTTTTATCAGAAAATGCAATGCCATGAACAACTGCACCCCAGAAAACTGCATGCCCTACTTCCCTACTGCAGATGATTGGACCCAAGTCAAGCTCCCCCCATGTCCCAAAGATCCCATCAGGCAAACCAGACCCCTGCTAATGCAACCAGCCCCTCAAGGCCAAATGAGACAAATGATGCTGGGTGAAGCAATGCGCTTCCACACCATCACCCCAAGACGAGGCCAGAACATCAACAGAATATGTGGAGGCAGGGGAGGTCCCACTCCCTGTAACTTAGGACCATACCACCCACTACCCCCCTGACCCACTCCCCATCCCATGCCCACAGCAAACCCAACACCAGCAGACAACCCCCCCCCCTGACCCTCTTGAATGATGAACAACAACTGACAACAAGATAACGCCCTAAACAACCTACACATCTGGCAACAAAACCTTAATAACTCCCATATAGCCCTACACTCACTTATTAACAGCCAAGCTGCAGACGATTGGGACATAATAGCCCTGCAGGAACCCCCCATTGACAAAATCAGAAACACAAGAGCAAATACACGATGGAGAGTAGTATACCTGTCATCAAAGCTAAACCAAGGTGAAAAACACAGAGTGGTAACTCTAGTTAATGCAAAGATAAGCACTAACATATGGGAACAGATCACATTCCCATCGGCCAATGTAGTAGTAACAAAGCTGAGAACCACAAAAGGGATGTACACACTGTTCAACATATACAATGACTGCAAACACTGACTGAACAATTGACAAACTGGGGACATACCTAGCAACCAACATAAGAATCGCACGGCTAATGGCAAATGACAGGATGATGTGATTAGGAAACTTCAACAGGCACCACCCAATGTGAGACAAGGAGCGAAACCATCACCTGTTCACAGTGACAGCACTCACATCAGCGCAGAAGTTGCTCGACCTGGTAGCAGACTACAGTATGATACAAGCCCTCCCCAGGGGGACACCGACCCTCCAGTCCTCCTCAATGGGAAACTGGACATGCCCAGACAATGTCTTTTGCACAGAGTTGATGCTGGAAGGCCTGACCAGCTGTGACACTAGTCCAGAAAACTGCAGCCCCAACACTGACCACCTTCCAGTGCTAATGCAGCTAGACATAGGACTCACACCAATGGAATTGACCCCCTCCTACAACTTCCAGGAGGTTGACTGGAAGAAATTCAACAAGATGCTCCAAGCTGAGTTAGCAAGGATAGGACCACCAGCGATAATACCTAATGAAAGAGAGTTCCAAAGGACGGTGGGGGGCATTGAAACAGTGCTATGCAGGATGTTGGAAAAGGAGGTCCCAAGGACACGCCCTCACCTGCACAAAAAATGCTGGTGGATGAGGGAACTGACAATGCTATGCAACGACCTGAAAACGCTAAGTAAAGCCTCCTATGTTTTCTGGGCAATCTGCGACCACCCCAGTCACAGACTATGCAAGGAGAAAGCAAAAGATTATGAAAAAGCCATCCAATCGGCCAAAAAATCTCACTGGAGGGACTGGCTGGAAGAAGCAAACAATGAAGACCTGTGGATAGCTAATGGGTACATATCCAAACCATATGGAGATGGCAGTAAGGCCCATATACCGACACTCAGAAAGATCAATGACAAGGGTGTAGCCACCACTGGTCAGATCAAATGAAGGCAAAAGCAAAATGTTTGTGCAAGTGCTCTTCCCTCCCCCCCCCTCCCCACTCATCAGTCCCACAGAACTATGACTACCCCCAGCCAGCAGCCCACTGGTCTACCATCACATGGGACCAACTACAATGCACGATCAAGAACCTCAGCCCCTACAAGGCCCCAGGACCAGATGGGGTAGCCAACGTCATGTTCCAGAAGTCCACCATCCTTTCTGAATACCTAATACATCTCTTCAATGCAGCAGTAACACTACGAACATATTACAACCCATGGAGGGAATCCATAACGGTAATCCTACACAAGCCAGGCAAAGCAGACTATATGACACCTAAAGCCTATCGACCAATAGCATTGCTCAACACCACTGCAAAACTACTGTCAGCCATAGTAGCCAGCAACACATCGTTCATACTCGAAAAATACCAACTGCTCCTGCCAACACACTTCAGTGGAAGACTGGGACGATCAACTGAAGACTCACTGCTCCTGCTCGAAACCACAGTACAGCATGCCTGGTGACAAGGAAAAGTAGCCTCCATGCTATTCTTGGACATAGAAGGAGCCTTCCCAAATGCGGTCACTGACTGCCTGTTGCACAACATGAGAAAGAGAGGCTTACCACCAGAGATAGTAAAGTACATGGAAAGATTGCTGATGAACAGAAGAACCAAGATATGTTTCAACAACTATGAATCCAAGTGGTTCAATGTGAAGAACGGTATAGGACAAGGAGATCCACTTTCTATGATACTATATGTCATCTACAGCTCGGACCTAGTAGAAATGGCCAATGGCAAAAACAAACTAACACTTGCTTTCATAGACGACACTGCTCTCATCGCCATAGGAAAAACGTTCGAAGAGACTCACGCAACACTAAAAAGCATGATGGAATGCGAAGATGGAGCCTATGCATGGTCCGAAAGTCACAACTCCTGCTTCGAAACTAGCAAGTTCACCCTCATGGACTTCACACTCAGCAGAAACAAACCCAGACCACCGCTAACGCTAAGAGGTTCTACCATAAATCTGATGCATACTCACAAGTTCTTAGGTGTAATACTGGACCAGGAACTAAGGTGGAAGGCACAGGCGGCCCAAGTGATAGCCAAGGGAATGAAACAAGCCCTGCTCCTGAGAAGACTGTCATCAACCTCCTGGGGAATCCCCACAAAACTCATGTGCCAACTCCACCAAGCAGTAGTAGTCCCAAAAGTAATGTATGCTGCTCCAGTATGGCTCCAACCAGCCTACTCTGGAGACCACTCCTCCTGTTTGAGAGGATCGAAAGGCATAGTGAAACGTATCACAATGATCCAAAGAACAGCAGCACTGGCAGTAATGGGAGCCATAAGAGCTATGCCTACTGATGCCCTACTAGCACATGCCAACATACTGCCAGCGACCCTACTCATTCAACACACATTGTATAAAGCTGCCCTCCACATATCAACTTTACCAGACATGCACCCTCTACACCTGCACATCAAAAGAATGGCAAAAAGAAACATTAAATGCCACAGAACTGCGCTCCACTGACTAATCCATGATCTAGAAATCTCTCCAGGCTCAATCAAGACGATCCACCCATGCCCAATACCACCAAGTGCATGCCCATCACACTTGACTGTCATCACTCCCAGCAAAAAAGATGCAATAAGAGACTTTGCACAGACAAATGACAAAACACTGATATTCACAGATGGATCAAGCATGGAAGGAGGAACAGGAGCAGCAGCCGTCCTATACATCAACTTCAAGCATGTTGTCACACTGCGTCACCACTTAGGCCAGGTGTCGGAACACACAGTGTTCGAGGCAGAAGCAGTAGTGCTCCTTCTAGTGGCACACATACTAGCCACCAGAGATGAGGTCACATACCTGGCCTTGGTGCTTGTAGACAACAAGGCAGTCATCAGATCCAGTGAGCACCCCTCAGCTAAACCAGGACATCACCTACTGTTACAGTTCAGATCGATGATCCACAAAACCCGCAATGAAGAATGTCTACCAAGAGAGAGCATGATGCTCCGATGGATAGCTGGACATGTGGAAGTGGAGGGAAATGAACTAGTGGATAGAGAAGCGAAACTCACAGCAAAAAGAGCAGAAACCACAAGCCCACCAGGAGACCTACCACCATTCCTAAACAAGCAACTCCCCATCAGTGCCTCCACCCTTAAACAATACCATGCCATGAGACTAAAAGCGCTATGGAAGAAAGAATGGCAAAAATCCCCTCGCCATGACCATGTATCCATGATAGACCCCCTACTCCCAGGAGCTTCATACACAAAACTAGTCGCCTCACTACCCAAAAGACAGGCCAGACTATACATACAACTACAAACAGGACACATACCACTTAACAAACATCTGTGCTGTTTTAAATGAAGCAACACTCCCATGTGCCTGCAGTGCAGGGAGACCACTCCCAAGGATGTACATCACTTCCTTTTCCAGTGCCCCAGATATGACAGAGAGCAGCACATACTCCACAATGCACTGGGAAGAGATGCCACATCACTATCCTACATCCTCTCCAACACAGCAGCGCAGTCACACCTGTTCAAGTACATTTCAGCTATGAAAAGACTACCATAACAAACACCAGGTGAGGTATTCAAATAACACCATGGTAAATGATAAAGCCCAGCACAGGACCAGAATGCTTGTCAGCAGACCAAACATGTACTCAGTGTAAACACCACCTGCATCGACACTCACATCCCCCCTCCCCCCACCCAACTGACACACATGAGATTAG